ATGTGTGTGTGCGCGTATGTGTGTGTGTGTGTGTGTGTGTGTGTGTGTGTGTGTGCTTGTGTGTTACCTTGCTAGTGGGTGTGGCGTAGAGGGTGTGTGGTAGATACTTCTTGTTACGTTTAGTGTGGTCTTATTCTCGGCTCATGAGCTTACACTGCCCACACCTCGTTCTCTGTGCGCGCCATGTGGACACGACTAGGAAGTGCCTGTGTGTGTTTAGGGTTTTAGGGTTTTAGATGTATAGTGTGCTATGTATATCAGGCGTTTTCATTGCATTAGCAAGTCGTCTTTACATGGGATTGAAGCAAGTCGTCTTTACATGGGATTGAAGCAAGTCGTCTTTACATGGGATTGAACGTCTGTAACTCCCCGAGTTCTATATATAGTAGCGAAGTGTTTTCTTTTTAGTTTTTACAAGGAAAGTGTTCTATTTTTAGGATTTACTAGGGAAGTGTTCAATTTCTAGTTTTTACGAGGGAAGCGTTCTATGTTCAGTTTTTACTAAAATGACAATTCGAGACACCTGGCCAGCTGTCACGGGGACGTCTAATGCAGGTTGCAGGTTGATATGTTGAACGTGTTCTGTTATTTTCTTTGCGTGTTGCTATAGGCAGGGTTGTCTACTGACACATATACCATGCGTCTTTGCACTCCAGGCAAGGCCAAAATACACTTAACGATAACAATGAAATACAAGAACGGAGAGGGGCTTCAGAGATTTTTGGACACCGTAAAGGACCTGACAAGTGTATGTGAGCTATAGTTCTGCCAGCCAACGGTCTCTATTTCACTTCCTATTATTCCCCTACTAATTGTTGTAGCGTAGTGCTATCCCCTACCCTGTGTCCACCTACCTACCTACCTGAACGCGAGGGCGTGTGTGGTGCTGCTTAGGTAGTGTGACCCACCGTGCTACACCATTTAACAATCGCTAGCGATAGTGAGCACTACGCGAGTGCCCTTTGTAGCGTTCACGTGTGATGTATCATTCGTCCGCAATTGGTCGTGGCGCTACGGCCTGTGACACGCGTGTACGAGGGCTGTGTGTGATTTGTCGTATAATATTTGTTCGCATGTTGCAAGTTGGTGGGCATACTTTAGTACACCCGTACTATCAGTACTATCACTCCTGAGCTGATGCCGATAGCACTGGTCAATTACTAACTGGGACTTCTACACACAACACCAGGCGAGCGCACTCCGCCAAGAAAGCCCGGAGAGTGACAGTATAGCACGGACATCTACGTACCGCGATGAGCTTAAGCTGTTGGGTCTGCATGAATGCACTATAACCATCTCCAAGCAACGCTCCTTCCAAACCTGAACCGGGTCATAGTACTACGCCAACACCGGACACACGAGTGGTCAGTACCTTCCAATGGATGGGCGAGTGCGGGGTAGCACAAGTGTACGTCACTTTTGCCGACCAATTGTATTACTGCGAAGATATTTGTCCCCATTGATTTTTCTGCATCTGAATATGCACAGAAATACTATTTCAACATAGCTCGGGATGTCGCGCCTAGACAGTAGTTTAGTACAAGGCAATTGCGCGTGGTGGTTGTGTGCACAGTCTGGCCCAAACCGGCACGTTATATACGGCAAGGTGCGAATTATGTTCTCTGGATAGAGAAAGTCATCTATCTCTCTAACACATCAGCAGAGCAGCATTTATTGGTACCTTGGAAGCCTGAAAGGCGGTGCACACGCGCACATGGCTTTCGCGCATACGATCGACATCGTACGATAATCCAGTTTACATTTGAACCGAAAGTCACTTACCGATGGTTTATAGTGCCTTCGTTTAGAAACAACCATCTGATTTCGTTGTGGCAGGTATATGTTATTGTTATGCATTAATCTCCGATACGTTCTTGGCCGTAATACTCGCGTGGGAGTGTTTTTGATCTTCGCAACTGTGTATATATCATTGCGGCTACAACTTGTGCAGCTGAGGGGTCGTGCACTAGGTAATCGTCTTGAATAAAAACTCCACGCAATATGCAAGTAAATATTCCTGTTCAATCTGCCGGTAGTATTGTTGATGGCTGTTGAGGCCTTGTATAGTTCTATAATCACGTAACCAGAAAATACCTTCCCGTGGTGGGGGATAGTAAACCCTACACAGGATACGACAGACACATCCACGAGTCATCGTCTGGACAGCCTCGATGGTCACCCCTGTGCTGTGCATACGTCCGAATCAAAAGACCTGGGCTACACCAAAGCAGTAATGACCGGAAATGGCAGTGTAACTCAATCTCGGTTATAAGAACGGGCTGACGTGTGGTTGTTTTCTGAGTGTACTATTGTGGTCATCGGTTCTGTGGTCGCTGAAGGATCTGCTTGTGTGGTGCAAATAGACAAAGATACCCACAGTATGGCACATGTGGAGCAAGTACACATAATGTATACAGATTAAGTACTGGACAGGCAATCTAGCAAACCCTATTTGACGTCGAACAGTGGTAAAACACACGGGCGCTGTTCTATCATCCCCCCTCGCCCTACTTCAGCACGAGCGCCCGGCTGATACATTACAACCCACTTTCACTTATAAGTTTGAAACGTATAATGTTGTGGCTAGAAAATTGCATCGGCGCGCTTATAGGCCAGTTTGAATACTTGTACTTGGCGCGACTCTCGGACTCTGGATGTGGTAGGCTGCGAGGGGTGCATGCCGTTCTTCGAGCTAATACACAAGCCTATGGAGGTACGTTGCTTGATGAAGTAGTTGTTAAGGGATTGGTGTAAGCCCTTTATGTTATAATATTAACACTGACAGACCTATCTGCACGCATACCTGATTGTACCTCTTGGCCATAAAAAAAGCCCGTATCACGGGGTTTCATTGCGAACACTGCCCCGATGTGGATATCCGTGTAGTTGGGTGTGCGCAGGGTGGTCTAAGACAGTGTATAGTTCATATAGTCATGTATGGCATGCATCGCGTTATGACAGCCAAAGCGTATTCACAGCACAGACGGGTAGAATACAAGGACACTGCATATGCATTAGGCTTGCCCATGCAGACAATCGTTTATTATCCATGTCGATATCGATACAAATCATCTGCTCTGAGTAGTGGTTTACGAGGGCACGGTTGCGCAAGTGAATCAGCTCACGACGACAGGCAGTACCTCCGCAACTATGCGAGAGACTGCACCGATACCCTGTGAGCCACAAGAGGTGCAACAGGGCCCAAAAAACTACTGGATGGGTGCTACGCGGCAATCGTGTATTGACAGTAGTTCTGTATCATGCCTGAAGGGTCCGTTCCTCGAGTAGGTATAGGCGCTACATGCCGACCTCGAGACCCAAAAAATAGGTGTGAGTGCATGACGTATATGCGCTCTATTCGGCAAGATGGCGTGGTTTTAGGACTTTCTGTGCCCTTGATCCGATCCCAACAAAGTCTCTGCTTGTGAGCAAAGCAAAAGCAGCTAGCTCGTACGGCCCACCATACATACCCCCCAAACCAACGGACCTAGAGGACTGTCTACCCCATCGTCACTCGCAAGAAGCTTGAAATCGCCCGCACCTACTGTGCCGATTTGGTGTCATTGATTTTGAAGTTCACAGGAGTGGTACGTATTCAACAGTCATGCTCAGAGCGAAACTACAGATCAATACTCATGGTCGTATCTGTAGTCAGTACTATGGGTGAGGTTGATACCGTGTGTTCTGGCGCACAACGGGTTGCACTGGCTTTGTACCATGTCTAGTGGTGTCTGCGTTGTGTGTACCACGTGCATGTGCTCTCATCTAGTCTAGAATGTCTAGAATGTCTAGAATCTAGAGTGTGGTGTCGTGAGTGTGGTTCAGTATGTACCCGGAGACTACCCCAACTCGCCTGTAAACCCCACCGCGGTCTCTGTGTACGCTGAGCAGAAACAGCCTATATCGCCCAAGATATCAAGTTAGCAATCGCAATGTTTATTCCCAACAACTTCATGGGACGCTATGGCTGAGAAAAGTGCGTGACGCTATTCTACCCTTGAAGAATCTGACTAACTCGCAATCCCTAGCCAAATAGAAGTACAGCTAGGCCTACGCGCTCAGACCGACATAACCCTGTCCATCTATTTATGCAGTGATATCATTTTATTTATTCATTGATATCAATCTAATGTGTTCTTTTTTTAGGAGCTTTGATATACAACCCTAGAGTAGACCCAAAACCCAAAACCCAAAACCTAAACCCTTTTTTTAAAAAGAGCAAAATCTCCCTAACCCAAGGCTCTCAGCCTCTCAAGCACATCATGATACAATATACTTTTTTGTAAAAAACCTTTTTAGCCCCGCTGTAGACAGTGCAGAGAGGGGCACACTGCAAAGGCCACAGTCTCACCGGCACAGCAGTTGAGTGATGAGTCACTTGACTCACTTCGTGTGACTCCCCCCACCCCCCCCGGGCCCCAGTATATATATAAATTAATAAAAAAGGTATGCGCGTTCTTCTTGCGTGTTCGATTTGGCTGATAATGTTGGGCACCCTCCGATGAAGATTACACTGATTGAATGGCACTGCTCATGGACCACACACCAAACACCAAACACGCACACGTAGATAGTACCACAGAACCGTACTATATCGACTATCAGAGTAGGTAGTAGTATAAAGTATTGGACGTATATTCATACTGAACAAATCCAATACCCTAGCCAGACAACAAGTGCGATACCACACACAAGATGGCCGACCAACGAGACCAAGATGTCATCAAACAGGAACCAATGGTTGAAGAGAGCGAAAGCGAAGACAGAGAGGAGGTGTCTTGGATAGAATGGTGGCTTACACGATCGGGCAATGACTTCCTCTGTGAAGTGAGGTGAGTCACTACTGTGCTCATGGTGTCATTGACTGTCTGTCTTTTGCGCTTATTGTCATGAATATGTAGAAAACTAATTATGTGTGTGCAAACGTACGCGCACAACACACAAAAAAATAGGTGCGCATTCATATATATACATATATATATATATATATATATATATATATATATATATAGTATATATATATATTATATATATATATATATATATATATATAGTATTGTATATATA